TTTTTTTGGCGGAACCGGGGCCCTTGTGCTTGCCAGGGAAGTGCTTATTCCACTGAGCCATCTCCCCGGCTCCCCCAGTTTTGAAATTAGTTACTTCTGGTTCAGAGAAATTGAACAGGTGATATTTGTTCCAAATTTTACTGGTTACATACAGGGAGTTGGGGAAAGAGCTATAGGTAGAAGGGGCCAGGGTTTGATCCCTGGGGTACTGTGCTGGGGCTGCCCCGGGGCGCACTGAGATGGGATTGAGACTGGGCATGGTGGTGTATGCCTGTAATCCCAGCACTTGGGAGGCTGAAAACAGAATCACTGCCAGTTTGATCTATGTAATGAGACCCTGTACTAAATACATTAAAAAACAAAAACAAACAAAAAAAACTATAGGTAGAGATAATTACCATGAACTAGAAGCAATTTAGGCTATAGCCACATGACAGGTACATTTAAAAAAGGCTACAACTAGGTGGGTGATGTAGCACACAATCCTAGCACTCAGGAAGCTGAGATAGAAAGATTACCATAAATTTGGGGCCAGCCTAGTTGACATAGAGTTCGAAGTTACATAACCAAACCTTTACTCAAAAAACAAAAAGGCTTCAACTTAAAAGTAACTTACATCTCAAAATGATTCATGAAAGAGATGATATTTGTTTTTAAGAGATCACTTTTTTCTCTTTTGTCTTTTGGAGACAGGGTTTCACTATGTATGTAGTTCAGGCTGGCCTTGAACTGTCTTGTAGCCCAGGCTGGCCTTTAACTCCTGGTCATCTGTGTCAGCCTCCTGCATCTGTGATTACAGGCTTATGCCACTGTACCTGGTGATCACTTTTATATCCAGTGGAAATACTAAATGAGTGATGTTTAAGATAGTATCAGTTTGCTAACATGAAGCCTCTCATGCCAGACCTGGTGAAGCTGGGTAAGGAAGCCGCTAAGTTTAATGCCAACCTGGGTAACCTAGAAACTGTCTCAAAGTTAAAATGTAAAGACTAGGGATACAGCTTAGTAGTCTCTGGGTTCAGCACATGCACGTGCCCATACACAGTTAGATTGAGGGTATACCTCAGTGATAGGACACTTAGCTAAGATGTACCTTAGCTGTATCTTCAGAACTTGTGGAAGGAGTAGCAGGCCAGAATTTCAGACAGCATTGTTATAGCTGTTACTATCCTTGTAGACCTTCCAGTAGAACATAACGTATAGATGAAAATAGTAAATTGATGACCCTGAATCTGTGTAGGGCTAGGCCAGTGCTGGTGCACATTTTATTTTTTAATGTATTTGGTACAGGGTCTCTCTACACAGCTCGGACTTGTGCTCCTTCTGCTTTCAGCCTCCCCAATGACAAGATTACAAGAATGTGCCACCATGCCAGGACTTGACAGTCGGCTCAGCATGCTCACTGGGGTGGGGCCGGTGTGGCTGATAGTGCCGGGGATTGAACCCAGGTCCCTGCTCTTGCTCAAGCAGGTGCTTAGTCCGCTATCTCACCAGCTGTGCTGGTGCACATTTTAGAGTCCATAACAAAAAGCCAGCTGCGGCACAGATGCCACCATACATTGGCCAGCACTGGCCTCGGCTATGGAGTGGCTAAGAAACACTAGTGCTTAATTTTTAACAAAGTTTAAAAAGTGATAAAATTCAAATGTTAAAATAGAAGGGCTGAGGGTGTAGTTCAGTGGTAAAGCACTTGGCTATGGAGTATCAATCAAGCGCTGGGTTTGAGCCAGAGCACCACAAAAACGTAAGATACAAAAGTCTACAGGATAAGGGTATACAGGGAGACTATCTCTGCCTATCTATAGTGTCTTTTAAACTGTTACCATAAAAGTTCAAAGGTTCAGAAAAATTTTAGTTACATTAAGCTGCTAATTTACTGAAGAGAATTACTTTTTTATAAACTTACTGTGACTAAGTTTATAAGTTTACTTAAGTGTACAATACTTACGAAGTTTATTACAACAGTGTAATCGCCTTGGCCTTCATATTCATTCGCCTCTCACCCACAGCAACTTCTAGTCCTACAAACTGCAGTCATGGCAAGTGCCATATACTGGTGTACCATTTTTACCTTATTCTGTAATTTTTACTGTACCTTTTTGTCTGTTTACATATACAAGTACTTACCATTGTCTATAGTATTCATTTTAGTACAGTAACATGCTGTGCAAGTTTTTAGCCTAGGAACTTGTTTATGCAGTTATACTCTACAGTGTTCACATAAGGAAACTACTTCATGATGCTTTTTTTTTTTTTTTTTTTTTTGGTGGAACCGGGGATTGAACTCAGGCCCTCTGAGCTATCTCCCCAGCCCCTGTGATGCATTTCTTAGAACATGTCCCCACTGCAAAGCAGTGACAGTATGTGAATTCACCATCTTTTTTCAGATTCGTGGTGCCCTTAATGCCATCAGAGATTTAATTCCTGCCACTTTAGAAGAGAAGCCCAAAGCTGTTGTTACTCACAGCAGTGGAAACCATGGCCAGGCTCTCACCTATGCTGCTAAATTGGAAGGTACTTGCTTAATTTCTCAGGATACCAAGTAGAATTATCACAAAGTGAAAAATTATCCTTAATTTCAGTGGGAGAGGTGGTAAGTATGGGAAGTAAATTTCTATGGAGTTTCTATAAGCAAAATGAACAAAGTTTTTATACCATACTCTCTTGATTTACATGAACATGTTTTTCTTCTCTCAGGGATTCCTGCTTATATTGTGGTACCCCAAACAGCTCCCAACTGTAAAAAACAGGCAATACAAGCCTACGGAGCTTCCATAATATACAGTGAACAGAGTGACGAGGTAAGGTGGAAAGCAGTCTTCACCAGTATCTTAATAACTTCATTTGTCCAACCTTTCTCTATCTTTGCTCACTCAAGATGGTCTCAGTAATTTCAATTTAAATTACTTCCCAAACATGGTGGCGTACACCTATAATTCTAGCACTTGGGAGGCTAAGGCAGGAGGACCATTAAAAATTTGAGAAAGACCTATACTGAATTCTTTTTTTGTGGCAGAACCGGGGATTGAATTCAGGCCGTTGCGCTTGCCAGGCAA